GAAGATTTATATATGAGTACACACTGATGGTATAGGTACTCATTGGTGAGAGATCTGTTAGTAAAATTTCATTTTCACTGGTAGATACTACATTCCTGGTTACACCTCCAGTAGTATACTCAATCACATATCCATTAGTCTCTGATGAATTGGTCCAGTTCACTTTGATACTATTAGCACTTAATATAAACCCTCTCACATTATTTGGAGGACCACTAGGAGCTAGAAAAGAGACAAAGGTATCTACTATTGATTAAAGTATAATCATACCATGTAATATCACAGATTGACTGTAGTTGACTCCTCCAATCATTGCTATACAGGTAACATTAACTGACACTCTCAGTGGATCAGGATATACCAGTAGTGTGTTGTTGTATGTCAGGACATCAATTGATGTATACATTGAGTTACTCTTAATCACTCCATTCACTAACCAGTTAACATCAGTTGAAGAATTTATATCAGTAGTTGTGAGACAATCAATACGATATTGAGTGTTATTGAGTTGTGTAATGGATGAGACTAGTGTCCAATTGATTGAATTAATAACTAGAAATACATCAACAATGTTTATAGTACATTAAAAGGTGCAGTAGCAATACCTGGTAAGGTCTGTACACTGATTGTACTAGCAGGTCCCAGTAATTGTTGATAGGCTCTGACTGTGATGCTATAAGTTGTTAGTACTCTCAGTCCATTCAGTGTGATTGTATTATTACTACTTCCCTCCACCTGTACTGTCTGCACAGTGTCTGTGTCATTTGTGACATTGACTACATATCCATCAACATCAGATGAATCAAGTGCAGTCCAACTGACAGTGATAGTGGTAGCTGTCTTGTTGACCTCAGTAAGAGAAGAGGGAGCAGTTGCTGGAGCTAAAAAAATAGCATAAAATCATTTCATTGCTATATACTTACCTCTTACAAAAATGTATCTATTTCTTGTTACTGGGCTGTGACCGGGATGCCCAAAATCTAAATAGAACCTAAATAAATAATCTCCATTGTTGTTTGATTGGCTTAGTACTCCACTAGTAATAGTCTCTCCACTCCATGTAACAGTTAGTCTATAATCCCACTTTCCATTACCATAATCTACTGACATTCCATCACCATACATAAATGTACAATTGTATGAGTCCATTTGTCCAATGCAGAGTTCAGTGCTACTGCTTTCAGACTCATAGTACCAATTGGCAACATGTAAAAAAGAACTGTGATCATCATGACCAATTTTAATGGCATGTAGTGTATATGTTTGAGGTAGAACCGTTTTATTTGAAGGAAGGTCAACTGTGACGGTTTCAATCTGTGCCCATCCTACAGTAAATCAGTAACAAAGTGACAGTGTGTACTAGTTTAATGAGAACACTTACTGAATATATTAGCAAAGATGATGTTAGTGTTAGGATCTGAACAATTAGTGGGTAAACAACACTTGTACCAGCCGTCACCAGTTGGTTGTATTCTCTGCCCAGGAGATATGTAAAGACTGACAGTAGCATTAGGTGAAGATACTTCATGACAATGAAGAGGATCAGTGCTACAGTCAACTGATAATCCATTATTAGTAACCCACTCTCCACCATTCAGAGTAGTACCAGCTAACGCACACTGGATACTGTTACTGGTTCCTTTAATGTCATTATCAAAAAAATATGATCCATTAGTATAACAATTTCCATTATGCATCAGGTAGATACCTATAAAAACCTATACAGTTGTTATTATGCACACCCAGTGTCTTACCTGAGGAAGGTGGACATTGACTAATAACTTCACTGACACTCATCAAGAATACAACCACTAGCACTGACACTGTCATCTTGTTTATAAGCAAATGTGAGTTGTTTAGTTCTCTTCAATTTCACTTACCATTAAATAAGGTAAATCCTCCATAAAGAAAAATAAATATACAAATTGTGTTGTAATGTCAAAGTAGATTATGCAAAACAAGAAGATAAACACATCAGGCAAGAAACCTTTCAGCATAATAGAACAATGTATTACAGCTATTGTTAGGAAGTGTTTGTATACTTGAGTAATGATTTTACATTAAGACTGAACTTTTGTATTTGAATGTAATTGGAACATAATAGCAGGAGGTTCCTTCCTACTTCTTTCTTTCTCTTTTGGTTTTGGGAGTATGTGATTGAGTTAAATATATGCAAAAACATGATACTTTTTAAAATGACAAATTCACATCAACCATGCAATGTCATAAGAATAATAAGGCATATACTAGTAATTATAAATATTAGCTGAGTCATTAAAACAGCTGCTGTTATTTAATGAGTGTATTTTTAAGTCGATCATCATGAAAAGATGACAAATTCAATTTAAAAAGGCATTTAACAATATATGTTTTTCACGGTATCTATTGCTTTCAATGATTCAGTGTTAATTAATTGCCATACAACTCCAGTTATCCATCATACTTTGTTTTTATCAGCTCACTTCTTTTTTATGTGGTAATAGATACAAAGTCAGTTATATTACATTGAAATCACAGCTGGATGCCTGCCAGCCAAAGGATTAATACATGGACATTAAAAATCTATGCCTACAACCTTTACAGGGACAGGGGCAGGTTGTTCAAGTTGTTCCATAGAACCAATCCATTGTCCACCATTCAGAGTAGCACCAGGTAATGCACACTCTAAAGGAGTTGGTCTGATACTGCTGTCTGTAAAATATGATCCAAAACCTATATACAGTTGTTATTATACACATCTAGTGTCTTACCTGAGGAAGGTGAACATTGACACTCAACAATCACTCCTGATACTGACAATGTCATCTATTTGTTTTTTTTGACACTGAAATTATACAGTTTCTATTAAGTAGATAAGTCTTTACTTGTCACAAGCCATGATAACTCAAAACAATAACATGTTTGTGTACTGTAACAAACTATGTGCATGAGCCATGCACACATAAGTTTTGTATCTAATAATGCATGCATGTGTCCA